TCATTGTGACCTTGAGAAGGTCGGTATCGGTAGCGTTTGTGAAATGGCCATAAACTTCGCGTCCAGGGCTTCGGTTCAGAGCAATAAACTTGTCCATGAAGTATTTCGAGGTTTGTTGCGAGCTTGTAGTATCTCCCTGGAAATCGGAGAAACCAAACTTGGTAATCGGGCTGTGATTAATCTTTGCTTTAAACAAGTCGATCTTGTTCAAGAAGAGGATCAATGCGGAGTGTTTAAACCAATGAGAGTTAGCAATCGACTCCCAGAGCATTAAAGCTTCTTGCATTTGGTTCTGGCAAAGTGTTAGTCACTATTTGGTGTATAATGATATGCGGCTGAGGGAGACTTACTCCATCCTTGTCTTCAGCTAGACACTGATCATAACCACTGATAGCAACTAAGAATAGTAATGCATTGACATTCTCGAAGCAATGGATCCATTTCTTTCGTTCCGATCTTTGTCCTCCAACATCGAACATTCTGTATTGCAATGAGCCGAGATCGAAATGTGTCTCGGTGATACCAGTAGTTCTTAGTCTGGCGCGAAGAACATCTTGATCGGTTGGAATGAATTCCTTGCTGAAGAGACGATCTAAATCCTTGAAGAAACTAAGACCCAACATATTAGAAGTGTAGATTTCGCAGAGCTGAAAGAGAGACTTACTAGCCCAAATTGTCATGCAGAGCAAACTCATTTCCTCTCTCAACAGTCTTCTGGATACCTGAATCTGCCCACATATCTTTGAATGCTTTGAGATATTCGAGAGGAATTGGTTCGCATGGTCTGAGATCCTTTTCTTCTGTGATTATTGGAAGGTATTGCTGTGAATGGAGTAATTAGTCAATGTCCTAGGATAACGATCGCAAGATTGAAAGCGAATTTGAGGGTAAACCTACTTTGGTGCTTTCGTGCTCGAAAGGAGTATTGAAATCATTCATTGCCTCCACTGTCATTCGCAAGCCATCCAAAATGTTGTGAAAGATGATAATGCGCCATTCTTCTTTTTCAGTCTTTGAGAAACCCTTATCGGTATAAATAAGTCTCATCTGTTTTAGAATTGTTGACTTTCCAGATTCTCCAGCACCTGCAGAACATAAGAATTAGTAAATGCCATCTTCATCTTGAGATCGTGAAGCTCGAGAAAGTATGATTGATCGATCGTCGTTCTGGCGAATTGTGGAGGACGCGACAACTTACCCAATAATAACAACTTAACTTGTCGCTGCATAACCTTCTCATCTCTGTGGATAAGAGCGTCTATCTCTTTGGACCTCTTGGCCTCGACATCCTCCCTACTGCCGAAACACATCATGAAGGGCCAAAATTAATACGTAAAGTTCAAGAAAGAGAGAAAAGATTCTCAGTTGCTGTCGGGATAATTTTGGTAATTGGAGAGCGCTTCGAAGATCAGGGTAGAAGAGAATTTGAGTTTCAGTAGAATGGGATGGGATGAGACAGGATCGGGATGGGCTGGGCCAGCTATTGGTAACGTTGCGGAATTAATTAATTCGCCGCTGATACCAGGCAAAAGTAAGTTAATAAGTTAGGTCCAGGTTAGTTATCCTGCAGAACTAGTGTCAAATGTCAAGCGTCAAGTGCTGAAGAGCGTTGAATTTTCTTCTTCTTCAAAGGAACGAGCGTTGGATTCGGTAATGGTAATGGTTCGTCGATTTTAAATTTCTTCGGGGAAGGACGCTGTTGATAAGACCAGACGGGCGGCTTTGACGGATAACTTCCAAGGTTATGCGAGCAGAGTGATGGATCTGGGCTGGAGCTCGCTCGGGAGATTAGGTCGATTTGAAGATTGAACGGGACCTGTTCATCCAGTCAGAAGCAGTTTATTCCTGACGGAAATGCAAGGTAGACCGGCACAGTAGAAAGACTAAAAGCGTTGATGATTTGAAATACCTACTGGGGACCAGTTTAATGAGATAAACTTTGGATTGCCGATCCCATTAAAGTTTTACTGTTGTACGTACGGTACTCGTAGGGCCAGGACTATTTCTACGACTACTTCTCCTGCGCAGGAAGGTCGGTAGGATTGATGATGTTGTGGTGTGATGTGGAATTTTGTTACGAGGTCGAAGTCTGATATCCGATCGGACTTGAATTGGAATATGGAGTCGAATTGAATCGTGTAATACCTCCCTCCACAAAAAAGAAAGTTGTGGTGGTGTGGGTATTCTTGGATATTAGTATCAACGACTGAGTGAATCAGATAATGTGACCCAAATAAACGGCCTTTTTGATGTCTCAATTGGATTGGACGATGTACCTATTCGAGAGGCTTCTTGTGAAATTTATTAGTCGACAGATGGTAGGTGAGTGGTGAATGGCAGGAGGAGAAGAAGGGGGTAGATGTTGATGTTGATTTAGGATCGGAAATGGAGATGGAAGGGGTAGAGGCAATAATGGAAAGCGAGAAGGGGAATGATCCTCGATTTCGAAGCCGAATTTGAATTTTGATGAAATGACCCCCCAGGTAAAAGTGTAAGGTTGTCGGCCTCTTAATGAGCATGGAAAAGAAAAGACAGCAGCAAATTATTGGCTTACACGCATTGACGCAGGCGTACGGCAAGAAATGGGAAAGGAAAAAGGGAAAAGAGAAAAGGGAAAAAAAGAAAGAAAGAAAGACTGTTATAAGTTTTGTTCCGTACCTGGGTGAGTATTTCTAAGCTCAATCTGATATATTTTATTTACACCTGCCTAGGCATGCAAGATCAATACGAGCGAGAGATCCAAAGCGTCTATATGGATGATTATCCAGTCGTCAACTTTGGTTCATTCGCGCGCGATTGTTTATTTCTATTTTAATCCGCAATACTGATGATCACTCAATCAATTTCGAGTGCATCGATGCTGCTTGACCAGCTCTCCACGAGTCTTCTCCTCATGTGCATCGAAACATATTCCGATGTACCAACACAGCAGCATCCCAGCATTCCTATCATTCCTATCCTGCTCATTGCATCGTGTATCTCTAGGGCTTATTATCAAACGATATGTAATACCTACCTAAACGTCAAACCACTAATAAGAGGGTGAAATGGATGTGTGTGGCAGATGCTGACGATATGAGCAACACACCGTGTCACTGCTACCATCGCTATCGATTGTAACCTCAGACGGCCGGCCGTTTTAGTACGAATGTCTTAAAATCTTCACACAAGGATAACAAGGATATCTGAACTCAAACATACAACCACATGGAAATGGACATTCGATATGCGACAGATGCATGAAAGTAAAGCATGTACAGGGAAGCAACGTGGAAACGTACGGTAGTAGATGAAGAAGGTTGTCAAATGCAGTCCCGAAATCTTGAAAGTTTGGTTCATAATCAGGTGAAAGGGACGCTAAGAGGTCCACCTCCTCGCTGCGGCAACCAATAAACACAGTGTACAGTGTGGGTGATGGATGTCAATGGTCCGTTGTAGAAAATGGAAAGATCAAAGGACGACAGCGAGAACGGGCGAATGAACATCAAACGTCGAACGATGCTATATTTCTAGGGTTCGTCTATATTCCCAAAGGTAGATAGGCACTGGGCAGTGTTTTGCAAGGTTTTTGTATATATTGGCCGGGCATCAATTTGAAATGCTCAATGGAGATGTTGGTATGTGTAGTGTAACCGTCATCTGAAGAATTTTAATTTACTTTGAGGAAGGTGTTTCTTGCAATGTCTTCCCTCGCCTCACTCGTACATGTGGGAGGTGTGATACTTAAATGTGTAGTCGCAAAGTGTACCTATATGCGGATTAAAAGATGGTCGTTCAGGGGTTGTAAACAGGATGGCGAGAATGGCTGAATGGCGCAGTCCGATTGATACTACCGCACTAAGCACGAGGCCAAGGATGGTTTATACAAGGTCTATCTGCAATACCTGACAGACGGAGTAAAAAAGCATGGTCGGAATGGAGAGAAAATACTAGCTGCATCGCTATCAACCGCACGAGGTCGAAAGGGATTGGATATTTCCAGCCTATAGCACAACGGAAGCTCCATTTATCAATCTGTCACAAACACGAATAAGCATTGAAATCCTCTTGTCAAAGTGTAACGTTGAAAGGAGGGAGAAATCATACCGAAGTCATGGTACGAGGCAAAGAGCTAAGGTCTTCAGAAGTAGAATAGCTGGATTCGAACTTGGCTATTGGGTACTTTGGTTGGAAATCTCACAATGTACATACGTACCTACTCTCTCCCGTCCGGTACTGAGATAAGTTAAAGTTTGCTAATGCAGAAATGATGCATTAGGTACGGACCGTCAATAGTCTTCCAAGATCCCCCCTTCTCACTCCTGAAACGAACCACTATCAATTATCCCTCAATGTCTAGACGAAAAAGAAGCAAGGGTACCGTGGCAATCTTCCGGTTGGGCAGTTTGATTCGTCTTTCTCCAGAGTATTTTTATCTGAGTAACGACATTTAACCATTCAGAGATTCAAGGATAAGCCCACATGGTCGTCATTATCACACACCTGGGTGACTACCAGGTACTTCCGACGAAGTAAAGCCTCTCTTCACTTGAATTTGGCCCCCCCCCCCGAGGCCCCATCTTTCACTGATGAGATTTTCCAGGATCACGACTCAATTTGAAGGAATCGAGTATTGCTGAACCCTTTAATTTGCGGCATGCAGGTAGTTATGTATGCATTAGCCAGTTACAAATCAAAATTCAGATTGAACCATGGGGGAGGAAAAACTCGTGATTTGACCATTTGAGCATCTCAAGCTCGTGCATATTGAGGGAAGTGGATCCAACTTCAATCAAACTCTGGCCAATAGCATCAGCTAAAAACCAGCTAACTTCTTTTGGAACATCACGAGATCTGATCCAATCACATCAAGTTTGTGGATCTCATATCGATTGAGGTGCATGGTGGGGTAAAAAGTATTTGGGAGCGGCCGCGGTCATATCAACAAGGAGGAAAAAAACTCTTCAAGATCATTAAGGTTATCTAGGTATTTTTGACAGCGAGCGGCCCATTATTTGTTCCTTCTTGCAAATTTCTACCATTGCCACTTCTTTTTCGTTCACTTGTTAAAAGAACTATTTGTACCTGCAATCTAAGGATTCCACGAAGATAACCGAGACCCATTCATTAACTCCAAGTCTCCATCAATCAAAGATCTCACCTTTTACTCCTCAATATATTTCGTACTCGTTTTTTGAAGCCCCTCACTTCTCCTCTGCGATACAACCTTCCTCTATTATCAAATCGATTTTCCTCCAAACTCATAGCAAAGATGTCAGAGATCACCCACCCCACTATCAAGGGTATGTCTGAGTAACTTTCATTCTATCCTTCTGTTTTTCCCTTGTATCGTTGTGTACTATGAAAAACATGCTCGCAATATTATCTCAAGTGAGACACATCCCTGGTGGAAGACATGCCATATTACCCGACATTCAAATGGGCACTGTCTGACTAATGCTTCGCTTCTTTGGCTTGCATTTGATGTCGACCCAAATACAACATCTGCGAAAGACGTGCTACATTCGGCAATATGCAAGAACGTACCCGAAACTAATCAGACAATCATAGATGGCTGGTTCCGCGAAATCTCCGAGATGTGGCCTGGACAGGCAATGACTCTCAAGGTCAAGAACGTCCTTCACCACGAGAAGAGCAAATACCAAGATGTTTTAATCTTCGAATCTACCGATTATGGCACCGTCTTGGTCCTCGACAACGTCATCCAATGCACTGAGCGCGATGAGTTCTCATACCAGGAGATGATCACCCACTTGGCCATGAACTCCCACCCAAACCCAAAGAAGGTCTTGGTCATTGGTGGAGGAGATGGAGGTGTCTTGCGCGAGGTTGTCAAGCACGACTGTGTGGAGGAAGCCATTCTCTGCGACATCGATGAGGTGGGCTGCTGAAACCGAAAGTTGTGGCTCTTTTTGTTGTTGACATTGTGAAAATAGGCTGTCATCCGTCTTTCCAAGAAATATCTCCCTGGAATGGCTATCAGCTACCAACATCCTAAGGTCAAGACTCACATCGGTGATGGATTCAAGTTTTTGGATGATTACAAGAACGAATTTGATGTTATCATCACCGATTCCTCTGACCCAGAGGGACCTGCTGAAAGCTTGTTCCAAAAGCCATACTTTGAGTTGCTATTTGGTGCTCTTAAGGAGGGTGGCGTTATTACCACACAAGGTTGTATGTTTCCTTTCTCTGTGCTTACACTTCTAGTGCTGTGTGTAGTAGCGATGGGCAAATGACATACGCTTTTTACTTTTCCTTCCATATTTCAACCCCCCATCTCAATTTTTTCCTAAGGCCTTGAATGCTAATGTATCCTCTCTATAGCCGAGAACCAATGGCTCCACCTGCCATTGATTACCAAGCTCAAGAAGGACTGCAAGGAAGTTTTCCCTAACGTCGAATACGCTTACACCACCATTCCTACCTACCCATCTGGCCAAATTGGATTCATGGTCTGCTGCAAGGACGCCAACCGCGATCTCAGCAAGCCACTCCGCAAATGGTCCCCAGAAGAGGAAGAGAAATTGTGCCGTTACTACAACGCTGCTATCCACGAGGCCAGCTTTGTTTTGCCAACTTTCGCCCGTGCTGCCTTGAAGTAAGGTGTTGATCCGGCTTGACTCTCTTCGCGTTGAGGAGACAGAACTCTAGGCATACATCACAAATATGTGTGGATATAGTTTGCTCGGAGCTAGCTAGTGATCTGCGGATCTCATACCTCTAGCTAGGAAATATCATACCCAAAATGAATAAATGACAACACAAGCATGATCATATTTTCTCCCCTGATTGAGGTAGCATGACTGTATGAGAACCGCGTTATTTGACTTTCTTTGACCAGTGGCCAATGACGAAGGGAAATATATCATGAATTGTAATATCCGACTGATCTTCATGTGTAAATTACGAATACCTTGTTTCCACGTGTGTTCCCCTGAATTAAAGGAACGGACAGGGCTGGAAATGGCAGCCACTAGATAGTTCGATGTTGCTAAGTGCACGTCCCATACGGAAACTCTATAGCCGATATTTGCCATCCCACTTCGGGCTCCAATGAAATTTTGTATTCGGCGGGGAATCAATTCGAAATACACATCACGGTATCATGATCAGGACTGCTCTAAGATATCTACCCAAGCTCACCTCAGTACACACAATTCCCTTTCCAAAGCAAGCTATACGCAACATGTCTCAATTACTTAAGAAACCAGTCAAAATCGCCTTGGTACAACTGGCTAGTGGTCCGTCCTTCCATACCTAGTCGTTAACGAAGTTCATCATGATACACCATGGGAGACTAATCAATTCACAACAGGCCCTGACAAATCTCAGAATCTTGCACATGCCCGCGAAAAGGTTCTTGAAGCTGCATCTGCCGGTGCAAAAATTGTTGTACTCCCTGAGTGTTTTAACTCTCCCTACGGTACTCAATATTTCCCCAAATATGCGGATACTCTCCTACCTTCTCCCCCCACTTCTGAACAATCGCCCTCATTCCACGCCCTCAGTGCGATGGCCGCGGAGACAAAAACGTATCTCGTAGGCGGTAGCATTCCAGAATACTCTCCCACCACCAAAAACCATTACAATACCTCGTTAACATTCTCCCCATCTGGTGAATTGTTGGCTACCCATCGAAAAGTTCATCTCTTTGATATCGATATTCCCGGGAAGATCACATTCAGAGAATCGGAGGTTCTTTCTCCAGGTAATCATGTTACTATGATTGATCTGCCAGAATACGGTAAGATAGCAGTGGCCATCTGCTATGATGTTCGATTCCCAGAGTTAGCTATGATTGCTGCGCGGAAGGGATGTTTTGCCTTGATATACCCTGGCGCGTTCAATACTACAACAGGTCCTCTACATTGGAGATTGCAAGGGCAGGCAAGAGCTATGGACAATCAGATATATGTGGCTTTGTGCAGCCCTGCTAGAGATGAAACTGCCAGTTACCATGCTTGGGGACACAGCTTGGTTGTTGATCCAATGGCACAGGTGCTTGTTGAAGCCGCCGAGAAAGAGGAAATTGTTTATGCTGAGTTGAATGGAGAAAAGATTGAAGAGACCAGAAAGGGAATCCCGATACAGACACAGAGAAGGTTTGATATATACAAAGACGTCAGTGAAGACTTCAAGAATGGAGATGAAGAGTGATAGACCACAAATATCAATATATCTCATGTCCATGGATACAGCGCCTACCATCCTTCTAACCCCAGTGATAACTTGTAGTTCACTGCAAGACACAAGCATGAATGACTGTTGGCTATGTTCATCATACACAACAATTTAAGAAGGGCCTGAAATAACAAACATCATAAGCTAGCAAGTTGCGATAGGATTTCATATGAAAGCAATCGCTCATTGAAATTTAAAGTGTTCCCAGCTCAATGACACAGGTGCTAATGCCGAGTGAGTAGTAAGTTTTGCCATACCCAAATGTAAGGTGCAAGTTGCGATTAGTTTATGAATGCTTTCGGAATCCTGTTTTATGGAAATCCCCCAATTGCTCCTTCCTGTTATATTTTATCTCTGACTGACCTTCAATCCAACTCATACAGCTTCACACTCATTAATTTACAACAGAATTAAGTCAGTACACTCATTTGATTACATTCATTTTATCACAAACATCCTATAGTATTCATTACCTCATGTACCTTTAAAATATCACATTTTCGACGACCGATGGACTCCCCGTCCGTTGGGCCGGCTGAAGTGTCTGTCATTGGCCGCAGAAGAACATCTTCTGCACAGAGTACTAGTTTTGAGTACCCTACTAATTGTCGTGTTGAGGAAGATATCCTCTCTCGCATTCGTGCACTCGTTTTATCTCGTAACACAAGTCGTCCCCCTCGAACCCCCCATCCATCTGATGAGCGCAACCCCCCGCGCCACGAAAACAGAGCTTTCGGAAGCCTCGACGACTATATCAGTCCCCAAAAGCCTACAAGAGGTGCACACTCTGATTCTGGATACTTGGGCGTAGAGCCACATGCCTGTAACTTTCGGGGCTCAGACGGTAGCATGGATATCGACGTCCCACCTCTTCAAAGATCTCGACAAAATTCCAACCCTAGTGTGTCTCCGAAACGCACAGCTAGATTAAGAGGCTCGAGCTCTGCAAACGATCTTCGAATCGACGGTGGTGTTACTGATATTGATCCTTCCACTGACTCAAAGCTGCTCAAGTCAACATCTACGCCCAAGAAGAAATATTTCACGCTTCCTAGATTGGTAGTACGAGATATCAAAGAGCCTGATTACCCCAGCGGTACCAAAATCGCAGTTGGATCCTGCATGCCACCGTTAAAGAATATATACCAAAAGGTTCCTTCCGAGGATACATCTGATCAGGATGCCAATTCGACTTGTCCTCATTGTGAGCAGCCAACCGACGCGGATTGTCCGGAACTTGCAGTAGTCGATGCAAAGTTATCGAGATTCTCCACGCTTCCCCAGTCTCCTCCAGAAGAAGTGAAGGGTCAACCAGAAATCGTCTGTTCCCCAACATGTCCTCCAAATTGCCAAGAACACTACATCTATCACCCGCTACCCAATATTATGCCCCCGGCAGATCAGCTCAAGATTGACATAAGGTTGGCTGGAGATGAAACAACTAACCTTGACTTTGCACTCAATGATATCAAAGCTCATGAGGCTTTAGGAGAATCCTTGGGCTACAAACCCAAATCACGCGAATCTCGTGTCCAGGATAATATGAAATCAGAGTCATCCTTCAGAACAGCAACCATAACGAATCCAAGAGATACTGAAGGATCTCCACCTCCAACCCGAGGGAGCAGTGTTAGCTCGGTTGATACATTTCCCCATGTTTTGACCAGTGAGATGGCTGTTGATGAACTAGTTTCCCGACCACTTTCTTCAGCGGTCGTCACCAATTTCAGCTTACCAGGGCCTAAAGCCAAAGCTACTATTTCTGTATCTAAGGATGAGACGCGACAAGCTGTGCCTCCCAAACTAGGTCGATCTCCCTCTGTTGGATCTATTCGTGCTATACCAAAAACACCTTCATTACTTTCTGGAGCATCCAGAACCTCTGTCCGCCACTCCTTGCTCAAAACATCTCTAGCCACAGGCACGCCAGTAGATACTGGGCTACCAGTCTCACCAGTCTTAACGCCTGTGACATTAGCATCCAATAGCGCAACAGAAAAGGTTACTTCGCCACAGCAGATCGCCACGCCGAGCTTGGGCACAAAAATACCGCTAGAGCCTATACTGGCAGATCTTGCTGCGGCAGCTAGTCTCTCTTCAATAAACCGGACAAATGAGAAAGACGGCTTGGAAAACCCCTCTGAGATGTCATCACATGACAAATTTGTTATAGAAGAGATGTCGCCTTCATGTATCAAGCTAGGCTATATTGACAAGTCAAGCCCATCAGTCCCTTTATTGACTGCTGTTGTAACCGTTCCCAAGAAACCAGAGTCAACGGAGATCCTCAGAGATACTTCTAGTAACAAACCCAGTATTCCTGAACGCAATGAAGCTCGTAAGAAGGTCCTTACAGATCAGAAGTCCGTCGAAGAAATACAACGAAGAGATGCCTCTGAAGCCTTTCCATCTATCGATCCTCTAAATGCATCCTACTGGGGCTTTGTCCCTGCAGTCAGAGACGCTGTTCAAAATGCAGTCAAGGTAGCTGTTCGTAATGCTATACAAGACATTGTCGTACCACCTGGGATTGAAAAGGCCGAGGCATCTGATGCCTACAGAATGCTTGTTGCTGATTCCCTAGCTGCAGCAGCTAAAACTGCCGATGAATATCTTCGACGGGATTCTTTATGGACCCAGGCACCGGAATCGGCTCTTGATTCAGCCCCCGAATCCTACTTTGATGACAAGTCGGCTCAGATATCAAGAATCGATTTCTCTCCAACCAAGGAAGACGTGCCTAAATCTCAAGGCCTGACAGCAAATGCGGGCGAAATGGAAGAAATACCTCTTGGCTCGACTAGTGGAAACAGGAGGCATGAATCTTCAAAAGCCACCACCACTATCTATAATGCTATCCCTCCACGGGACTCTTCAAAAAATCGTGCTCAGGCATCCAAGAATGGGACCGCAAATGTATCCCCCACATCTTCGCAAAAGGATGCTTCAAGGCGACGTGAGTCAAAGGGAGCCTTGATGTCAGTTGCAGATTCTACCAACACTACTTCGGATGACAGGACAATGAATAGCAAAAATACCGTTCATTGGCTCAAAGAGCTACTGAGCAGTAATGATGCATATGCACCTAGACTGACCGCCTTACCACCCCGGTCTCGACGAGCCGAAGCTCTAAGCGGGTCTAGTGGTCGCCAAAGGTCATTCACAGCACCAACAGAGCCTGTAGAGGAACTATTTCTTGGCGCTACAGCAAGCCCCCTTGAGACGAAGCCGAAAATTACTTTTGCCGATCCGAAAGACAAGGGGGCAGCTGTTGCAGCGACTTTTACAAGGACTATCAACGATCTTGAAAAACTTCTCAACGAAGCACTATCGATTGCGAAACAAGCTGCAGAGAGGAATGACGACAACAGTGTCCCAAATATTCTCAATAATGCAGCGGCGATCTTGAAAGGTGGTCGCCAATTCATGGATAGTGGAAAAACTTCTGTCCCCCAGAAAGTTCGTAGAAAACCTAGAGCAGAAGTAATGTCAAGCGTTGAAAGTTTGCCAAGTGCTCACGAAAGTGCTCGCAGTTATTCTGGAACAAGCACCGAAGGCAATACCGACGATGATGAGTTTACCGATGATGAAATCATAGATCAGGCACCTACCACGGATACTATTATCGAGGCGCCTGCGGAAAGGCAAGAATACCTGAAGATAATCGATCCTAGCCTTGATACACCAGAACAAGATTTTAGAAGACGCGAGCGAAGTGCAACTTGGGATAGTTCTAGAGCTTTACAGGCTTTAGATATCCCGGTGGATGCAAAGAAACAGAGAATACTGACACAGCGCCACAGTATACCAAGACAAAGCACTGCGGGAGTTTCGCCATCATCTGAGTCCAATAGGGTCAATTCCAATCCAGTTAATGGCAATCTTGAGGTATGTCAATGGCATAAATCGCTCTATACTACAGAATGCGTTATATAAGATGTCCAGTCAAAGTATACTGATAAAAGTAGAAACCATCAAGAACAACCACATCGGGCGGCTTTGGCTGGCAAGACATATCTGAGCGTCCTACAATCTACCAATCTCCTAGTATTTTGCGTTCCCAGAGTGGCGAAGAGGTGCGTCCTGGAAAGCAGCTCTATGAAGAGGACACAACGACACTCGCAAAACTGCCAGTCACTACACTGCGTGGTAAATCTTCGGTCTCGAATAGTCTTGATGGCTCACACCCCTCTGAGACGGTTGATTTTCAGACCGGATTCCATCATGAATACATTATGCAGCATGTCGAAGGACGAGGTGGGTTAGCTCGAAGTCAACCACGGAGTCGACTGAGAAGTCGAGCTCAGACACAATACCGGCAGGTTGCACAAGGTGGCGAGGGTGGAGACGCGGGAGCAGGTGCTGGTGGTGAAGAAGATAGAGATAAAGTAGTGGAACTACGAGACCAGCGCCCGGCCATGAACCGAGATGGCTCAAACCGGTCAGCAAACATAAACATGAATATGAGCCATCATTTTTTTAATCTCCAAGGTAAAAGGCATGTCAGTCTAAAAGAGCATAAAGGATTCAGTCTAGCAAGAACCCATAAGCGCAGACCTATTGCCAGAGATTGGTCTCCTTCTCGCAAGAGATTCACGGCTGTTATAACGTGTCTCAGTACGTTCCTCATCGGTCTTGTAATCGGGATTTATGCTGGTGAGGTCCCTTCGATTCAATATTCGATTGTGGACCTGCACCATTTCACGGTTCTTGGAAACGTTTTCTTTTTCATAGGTCTTGCTATTCCGACAACTTTCTTTTGGCCGCTTCCACTCTTGCACGGTCGAAAGCCATATATTCTTGGTTCAATGTCACTTGCTATGCCGTTGCTTTTCCCTCAAGCTCTGGCTGTTGGTGCAACTCGAAATCCAAAACTGGCCGGTTGGAGAATTGGCTTGCTTCTGTCTCGATCATTTATGGGATTTGCACTTGGGTTTGCTAACATGAACTTTCTGTCCACTTTGATGGATCTCTTTGGCGCGTCACTTCAAAGTGCTAATCCTCATCAAGAATACGTTGATGAAGGTGATGTCAGACGTCATGGCGGAGGCATGGGTCTGTGGTTGGGAATATGGACCTGGTGTTATGTTGGGTCTATTGGAGTTGGATTCTTGCTCGGTGCAGTCATTATCAACTTCCTGACGCCTGCTTGGGGCTTTTACATCAGTATTGCCATTCTTGCTCTAGTCTTGGTCTTGAATGTTGTTGCTCCTGAAGTTCGACGTTCTGCTTTTAGACGATCTGTTGCCGAAGTAAGGAAAGACGATCAGGTTTCTAGAAGACTAGCAAAGGGCGAGGTCAAAATGCATAGAGTTCATACTGGACCCAAGTGGTGGGGCGAGGAATTTCATCATGGTGTGTTGTTGACGAAGAGTATGATGCGTCAGCCGGGATTTCTGGTCCTAGCATTCTATCAAGCGTGGATTTATGGTCAGATTATTTTGATCATGATTGTAAGACACGGTAGAAATCTTCGAATTAAGATATATTTGCTAACAAGGGCTAGCTTCTCGGTTCACTGACTTCGAAATACTACAAATTCAAATCTCCATATGTTGGGGCAAGCGTGGCATCAATTCCGCTCGGTGCACTCCTCTCTGTTCCATTCCAAAAAGCGGGAGTCTTCAGTCGAGAACGTAAAGAGGGGATGGAAAGTGACGATGATACCTTGAAGAAAAAGAAAATCTCACTATCATCTCATTTCGTTCGACGTACAATTTTTGTTATACTTCTTCCATTCATGGCCTAGCTTACACACTTTCATCCACTGGACCACCTGTTCCATTTATTTTGCCTATAATATGGGCTGCTGCAATTGGTTTCCTCTCGAACCTCGCAGTCGCTGAATGCAATGGTATCATTATGGAAACTTTCGATACTTCTGATCTTCAGCCTGGTATGACGGGACGCCCAAGAAGCGGGAGTAAATCCGGAAAAGTGACCAATTACTCTTGTTTCCCACGCGTGTGTGCTGCCTTTGGAATTACGCAAGGAATGGGGTTTTGCATCGCAGCGATGGCAAGTGGTATTGGAGGAGTAGCACAAAGACATCTGGGCCAACAGGCCGCTACGGGCGTTATGTGTGGTGTATTACTGATTCTTTCCATCCTTCTCATTTGCGTTCTCGCACGGTTTCAAGATGTACAAATTATCCCAGAATCGAAGACTGGCGAGATGGAACGCTATCAGGCAATGAAGAGGGAACAATATATTCAAGGGAACACAGGAAATGGTGCGGATGAAGAATGGAGACCCATTATTATTGGGAACCCAACACATATCATGCGCAGAATGAGCGTGTTGGAAATGGGGAGTATGACGAGGTGGACCGAGATTCGAAATAAAAATCGATTGGTGGATGAAAAGAGTTTGGAGGCCAGACATGCAAATTTGAATACGTTAGTTCAGGTAGAGAAGAAGTTGAAGGAGAAGAGAAAACATGTCGTTGAGACAGTGAGGAGGAGCCTGAGTGGGAGCAGAGATGGTGGGGATGATGTTAGAGAGTATAGTTATGAGGAGAAGGTTACGACTCGTAATTTGGTGCCCGTTGGTGGGGCTGGGGGGTATGGTGATGAGAGGATGGATTTTAGAGATGATAGAATGGGAAAGGTTATGGGGAATAGTGGGAGAGAGAGTCGAGGTGGGGATGTGAGAGAGAGGGTGGTGCAGGAGAAGGAGGTTACGACAAAGCAGAGGAGTAAACTGATCCCACAGGGTGAATTGAGCGGGTTGACAGAAATTGATTTGGGGGTACCGGAAGCAGGAAATGCTGAAGTGGAGGAACAAGGTGAGAGAAATGGGGGTGCTAGGAGTAGAGGGCGGAGAAGTAGAGGAGAGACAAGAGATAGTGCGAGGGATGGAGATATAGATAGGGACAGAGAGGGTTACGATCCAAGATTGAGGAGAGGTACGGTGGTCGGTAGTAGGGGGATATCATTGGGGAGTTGATGAAGTGAGGATGGCGGTTGAGATAGAATTAAGATCGGAGCTGGTAAGATTGCAAGGTTAGAATACAGAGTGAGGAGTAATAAGGGGGGAAGTTGGGAGTAGTTAGATTGATTAGACGAATTGAAATTGAATATTCCTAGGGAGCTGAGATTGGATAAAGTGGATTGTGTGAATGACAGAAGTGGAAATTGAGATGAAGTAATGAAGTAATGTTGTGGTTCAGCGAGATAATGTGAGCATAGTGGAGTAGAGGGCGTCGGAAACTAATGAGCTGAGTAGATTGGAATGGGATGAAAAGGAAGTGGAGTGCATTGGTATGATGTAAAATCGCGTATGGGTATCCTTCCAAGTGGTAACTGACACGATACCTGGTAAACCGTTGCGAGTCGTAGAGGAAACTTTTATATGCATTCCAGAGGAAAAGCTGCGCAGGAAATAAGTAACTGACGTGTTAGGATTAGAAGGGTAATTTCTTGGATTATTGGGGTGTATTCACATCAAACGAGCAGGAGGGAACCTGAAGTGCTTTTTGTATCTATCAAGTAAATTCTTACTTTTCTTAAGTTAATTATCTCTATCTATTTATCTATCTATCTATAGTAGTTATCTATCTATCTATCCATGTGGAAATATACAGTATTATGTATGTGTATATACCTCCAATACCGTCAATAACTCCTCGCTATGCAAATGCTTCAAAAATATCATACTGGTATCATCCATACTCATACGTAGTGCATCGTGTCAATGCAAAAACATAATCTCATCTCAAGACCTTGAATACATACATATATGTATGTATGATCATGGTGAATAAATCACGTCGTTTCCTCCTTTTATATCCTATCAAGCAATCGTCCATGCAAGTCATTCCCAGCTTACATTTTCGTAAGTGTGCGCAAAGACATAGTTTCAACTTTCTTTCTCTCTCCACACACTCGTCTCAAAGCCCCTCAAGCACTCGGACTAAATTTACTCATCTTCCTCACTCTCGCCCCGTAGATAAAAAATAGCACAGGTGCAGGCATCATAACCACGCATGCAAAACCCAATACGCTCGTTGCCCACGCGACTCCCAATCCATTAAACATATACTGCGCGAAGAGGGGGAACCCACCTCCTGCAAAACTCCGCAGGAAAGTATTCGCGGCAATCGCCGAATTGGCATGCCACATGTAGACATCGATGATGTAGTTTAAGCCCTGCAAGAAAATCATCAGGATACCCCATCCGATGAAGATACCCGAGATGACTTGGGGGACCCAGGTGATGTTGGGGTTGGAGGTCCAGGCAAACCAGAAGAGTCCGATGGGGAGGATGAAGGAACCGAGGATCATGGGGGGGAGACGTTCTTCGGGGATCACTTTGCCGTGTTTTTCGAGCTTGCGCGCGAAGCGGGTCTTGGTGACCCAGGAAATGGTACCGGCGCCGAGGAGGACCCCGATGAGGATGCCGATGAAGGGGAGGGCGCTGAGGCCTGGGGCCCAGCCGCGCGATTGTTGGAAGGAGATGGGGTAGGCTTCGAAGAAGAGGTAGAGGATACCGTAGATGAGGGCCATGTAGAGGGTGATGAGGAGGAGGATCGGTTCTTGGAAGAGCATGATAAAGGGGCGGAGGAGATAGGTTTGTAAGATTGTGTGGGGGGTGAGTTTGAGCTGGAGTTGAGATTAGTAATTTGCTTGGTTTAAGGGTGTAGTGGTATTTTGGAAAAAAGAAGGGAGAAGTTAAGTGAAAAGGGTGGGGAAAGAGGGAAGGTTACTCACTTCGTCAGCTTTGCTATGAATCGCCCAGTTCTTTGTTTCAAATCTCAGTCTTGCAGCCCGCTGTTGAAGAATCTTTGGGTGCGAAGACTCAGGCACAAAAATTAGGCCCAGCGTTCCGAAACCCGCAGCAAGAATCATCGTGATCCAAGCTGTCCATCTCCAGCCCAAATACGACTGTGTGATAAAGTTACCCCCAATTGGTCCTGCAATTGGACCGATAAAAGTTGCCGCTGCGAAAACGCAAACTGCTACACCTCGATCGACCGGGCCGAAGAAGTCCGCCAACGCTCCCCCGATAATCGCTAATGGGGCGGAAGCAAAAACTCCGCCGAAGAATCGACAAACCATGATAGTTTGAAGGTTTTGAGCTACAGCGACGGGGATTTGGAAAATGGCGAAGCAGGCATAGCCGAAGAAGAGAGGAACTTTTCTGCCAAAGAGTTCGGATCCCGGTCCCCATACCTGAGTTGTGTTAGTTCTATCACTTCAAACCAGCGGTGTATATTCATGATGGAGAAGTCAAAGAAGGTAAGGAACATACCAAAGGACCAACACCAAAACCCAACACGAACAATGACGTCCCTAAAACAGCAACTTCTTCCGATACTCCATATAACTCCGCGACTACAATCGTAGCCGTACTAAAAACACTCGACGCGAACGTGACGACAAAAGTCATCAAGCCCAAGATGACAGTTACGAACCATTTCTTTTTCGTACCCCAATTCATCGGGTTCTCAGGGTCATCCGGTCCATCCCAAGTTATCAGATTCGGATCATGTTCTTCCTTCTCCCTTTCCAATCTCAACATTTCTTCCTTTTCTTTCTCGCCTTGTGCTTCCACATCGACATCCTCCTTTGCCAACGTTGTCGTTTGACTGCTTCCTAGCACTTCTCCATCGATGCCCTGTCCCGGAAAGGGCTCGGTATCAATACTATCGCTATCGTTCCACTTCCCCTCGTTCGTATTCCCATGCTCCTTCGACGCTCTACCGGTATCCATTCTTGAATTCGGAATAAATATCTCCCCCTCGGTGTCCAGATTCGTGCCGACAGTCTTATTCAAATGATCCCGATCAATATCCGTTCCTAAATTTGATCTAGATATATCTTCAAACCCTGTACTAGACTCAATCCTCGTGCTGCGATGCTCCTCCATTTCAAAAAGGGGATCTCTCACGCCCGGGGGCAAGCAGATCTATTTATTATTTATAGGAGTCTTGAAGGAAGCGGGTGTGCGGGTCTTGGATGAGGTCTACAAGGGATGTGCATAGAAATATGGATTACTCGTATGTCCTGCAACTTCTGAGATTCTTATCACAGAAGATCGGAATGTGGATACAATGTGAAGAAGCCCTGTAAACTTTAGTTCTCGAAGGATGTTAAGGGTCGTTTGGTATTATGTTTGAGCAACTGTGTGAATGGAAGTTATATGTAGAGAACTGTAAGAAATCAAACCTGGGGGATATGTAGGATGAAATTATAAGATTATATATACAATGCTTAAAAGTCTTTAGAGCACTACGCAAATTTTAACCATAGATTGCTTGTTCTATCCCCACAGTGATGATGAAAAAGTTCTCGAAAAGTAATCATATATTAGTAAACACGGAAATAAAAGGATAATTCGCGGGCCCGAATTTGCTTATTTGCTTGGAAATCGTTGCTTGAAGGGCGCGTCCATGGAGATATCGCACATATCACCCGCCGAGATATGAAGTAGACATAATATAAGAGCCGATTGATGGACGGAATTTGCAGACCCAGTATTCCTGACAGCGGGTATGCAAGGCGGTAAGGAAGCCCGGCTTGCGAATCAACAACGGAAGGTTCGAAGCCACGAATGTTGTGGGAGCCGCAAATTTTGAGTATCCATCAGGATGATATTTTGAGGATTGCCATGGCTATGCCCTGTCAAGGGTGGGGAGGTGGAGCTCTTTCACTAGGGATCTCTTCATCGTTGAGATGCCGTTACCCGTGCACGCCTTTAACAAAACAGACACTAGACAGGCAGCGGAACGATCGGCTGATGGGATAACGGTTGAAGACTTGAGATGAACGCACAAGTCTGGTGCAGATTTTATGGGACCTGAGTACTATCAACACTTGTTGGGCACACTATAACGCCATGTTCTTATCAACTACAGTAATTCATAATCATTCGCGTAGTGACTTCAGAAATTCTTGAATGTTCATAACAATTTCCGGTACCATTGTTGTCAATATCAACTTGTAGCATGGCATGAGAGAATAGTTATATTTGGGGAATAACCCCTTTGTACCCTGCCATGCAAGTCGGGGACTTAAGCGCAGCTCTAGCGCCCCATGTACAAAGGAAACGATTTTAGAAATAAAGCAAGCATTTCTTCCCAACCGATGTGTATGGTTGGTATCCCTAGGAATCACGGTGTGAAATCGAAAGATTTTTTCTTCTTCTCAATTGTTGCAAATTGTTGCGAGTTGATCGCGGAAAGGTCAGGCTTGCTTCGCTTTGTCTCGGATGAAGAATGAGGGATGCGTGCGAGCCTACCTAGCTAATAGGTATTCGGCACTTTTTTCGGGAGATGGGCGGATCTCAAGTCAATGGATTTCAGTACTTTGTGCCATGCAGTAAGATTGAGAATTGCTCAATTATCGATGTTGGAACAGAAATGCGAATACAAGGATGGTTTGACCCATAAATCAATATAGCAATTGAAGCTGGCGAGGCAGGTTCCACCGTTCGAGTAGCAAAAGTCTGTTCTCATTAAATGTAGTCATATTGAAATGGCAAAGAGAAGGGAATCGACCAATGTGGAAAGCAGAAAATTAACTCCCGTAAGGGCTATGCGCATCGCAGCACGGTTTTTATCGTGCGTGCACATAAAATCAACGATCAAGGATATGCAATTCTTGAGTGGATTTTCCTAAGTGGACGTCAGTGAACCTAATCGATTGTTTAAAAGTAGACCCGCGTTTTCAATTCCATCAAAGTGACGAGACCTCATTTAGACAATCTCAGAAACGAATCTGAAAAAAGTCTGTATTAGAAAATTGGTGCCACCGCCACTTTTATGATATTGAAGCTATGAATCTTGATAATGATCGAGTCTGATTTCCCTTTTGTTCTATATGCCTTTTTCCTGTGTTGGAGAAGCCTGTTCAGCTGAAACGATTTCCTCAGTGAACTTGTTCTGTCTTTGTATTTGCAATGGTTAGTTTGGAAGAAGAAGTGTCTGCTTTCGCGGTTGCAAGTATTTATCCGTTACGACTCCTTGGAAAAGCTTCACCTGTCAATATAAGTCGCATAAGTATGCCATTTTGGGGGATTGGGAGGGTTGTGTCATGGTTTAGGGACATTGAGCTTTGGGATCGAGGTACTTGACTTGAATGGGTGCAACAAAAGGATATTTCACATGCGACTGGAATTTTGCAAACTTGGGCATCTTTGTGATGTTAGAATTAACCTTTGCAGGTAAGTCATTGCACCGTTCTGGGTAGAAAGAATACCGAGTAGTGCATGATGATATTGGCACGTTACTATCTTGGTATTTAAATGGGAGATGGAATCGTGGAGATGATTGACATGCTCTCTGTGAAGGAAGTTGGCGTAATTCGAACGAGACCGAGAGATACGATTCTGGGTATGCTCTAATCAAGTTCCAGCCCCGCTTTCTTGTTAATATAGAGCGCGACCAAGATGTTTGGGTATCAAAGACCAATATACGGTCATCCGAGAGTGAGTACTCTAGAGACGAATATACGAAGAGATGTGTGGTTTGTGGCCGGGCTCCAGGAGGTATGCATAACACGCAAAACGTCCCATCCTGCCGCGTCACTACCTGGGATCACGCCCTGGTGTGTTGCGGCGAAGATATATGGCAGTTTGAGGCTGTCAATCGCGCACGGCTCATGCTATTGGTGAGAGCGCATGTGTCTTCCATTTTCGCATCGTTACGACGCTTTCTCGGCATTTCGGGATAGAAGATATTGATGACCGAGTGGCCCATTCGACAAAAGAAAAGCAACGGACCGATTGAAGCTGAAATGCACTTGCTGACAAAAGACCTTACAAAGAATATATATCATCCTGCAGGTGAACCAACGCTATGCAGCAGGAATTGTATTTATGTCATTGGCGACGAAGATGAAGATATCTACCAAGGATATATCTATGCGGAGAAGGTGTGAGATCAAGCCTGGCAATTGACGAATTAAATAACAGGCAGCATCTGATACTTCGGATGACTATAATGAAGGATGGGGAGGTGTATCTGTGCCATAGTCTAATGAGAAATCAGCTGGAGTCCCATCCGCAGCATGGTAGTTATTGCTCTGGGCCCAAGAATCCGATAGACCGATTAGAAATCTCCCAATCCGGGAAAGGAGAGATTCCATCTCGTGTCTTGACCTCTTCGGTACCATTTACGACGCATAGCAACCTTGGAAAAATAATTTGAATTGATCGGTATAGGTGGGTGCCACGAGGAAGATTGTGGGGAGATATTGTGGTACACGAAAAGATGATGAGAGCAAATAGATGAGATAGATATCTAACCTTTATAGCAATCCGATCCTGTACTTGGAGAGAATCCAGATTTCCAAATAGAATCTTCTTTCCGCCTCAGGTGTGAATAACGTGAGCCTGGCGCGAACAAATGCCTGAGTGATGGATAATAAATAATGAATGATAAGTAAAGAGTAAAAAGTAAAAAGTAAAAAGAACCTTCACAAAACAATCAATGAGCAAACAAATTCTGCCTCTCAATTTCTCAAGCTTCAATTCAAGTGTAATTCTCTCCAACGCAAAATTTTATGGATGCACACCCGTCGGCGGATATGGATATACCTCAACACGGTGAAGCTGCAAGCAAGCCACCGAGATTTCGAAGCTTCTCTGGAAATTCGAACGAGGCTGCGCATCTAAGCAAAGAAAAGAGAAAAGCCACCTCTGGCCCCCGCAGCAAGCCCTACTACAGGGCTGCATAATGTGACGCCAATATCAGATTATCCGTTGCACCTAGCAATACCGTTCACCGATCAAGATAAGCATCGCTAAACACATAGAATTCATCTCAATACTATTGTAGCCCCTGGATGCTCGATAGTTGAGGACTTTGGCCCCCAAAGGAAAAATGATATATCGGTGTACAGAGTACCTCTGATTCTCTTGGCGGATGTTGTATGGAGATGACGAAGGCGGTATTTCACCCCTCTTCTTCGCAAGTAAGTCAGTGGTTAGCCTTATCAGTAGAGATTCATCTCGTCTTACTTTTTTTTGGGGCGGATTGGGGTAAATGACGTATCCGAATGTTCTTTTTATATATTTATCTGTTTTATCCTATGGTTTTGGTTGGGAGGCAAGATTGGAAAGCTTTCGCGAATGTGAGCATGATGTCAACCTTGTTTCTTATGATGTCTACACAAGCTCAAGCGCAATATCGCAAGGAGTACATGCAGCCTGTCCGCGTCAACACCCAAGCTACATCAGTCCTTCCGAAACATGCAGTCGAGCTATTCAAAAAGAAACTGATAACGACCGAAGAGGGTGGTTCTGGAGTCAAGTAAGTTTCTCTTATTCCTTCATATTCCCTTTTTGCTTTTCCTCTTCCCCTTGGACTTTTCTTCCTCTTTATAATCACTTGGGATGTCCTTCAATCTCCCATATCAGCCAGGGCGTCAGGAATTTGCAAATAGTCATCAAGAGCGCACTTCCAGCGGTGCATCTATTCGAAGCTCATTAGACGTTCGAGCATTGGACATCACTGTGAGAGGAATCCTGTTAAATGGCTCCAATTACATGATCGTTTAGATCTCCTCAGCACCTTACCTTGAGGAAAGATTGCTCTCCGCTTGTCAATGGAATCGTCCCTGAATTAGCCACCGTGGTGTATAAAGACTAATTATAAAGAAGTCGACAGAAAACCAGCCAAAAGCGTTTCCAAGGCATGAGCTACAGATCAAGCAGCTCAATTATTCTACGCGCAGGATGCTCTATTATGTTATTGGTCCTTTGCAATTGTTACCTACTTTTGATCGCCCTGATTGTCAGACATTTTGCAAAAAAGCCCAGTAGAACTGCCTTTGATATTTCACGCCGGCCTTATTTTCGTCCCGGAACAGGCTTTGGCCGCCGTGAACATCTATTCGGTGATGGATGGTTTCTTGAGTGGCCAGGAGGTCAACGCCCTCTTAATTCGACATGGCCATGGTCCGGAGTGAAACTTTCAATCTTGGTACTGTGGGGTGTGTGTTGGATGTTTTATATGCGAATGGAGTGTTGGCAGCAAGCACAACCTCATACTTCGCATAGCCATAGCCATCCGCAGACATCTTTGCGCAAGGCTTCCAGACCCTCGGCGTTTCATTTGTCTCCAACAGCGAAGAATTATCTACCACTCGGTAAGCAGTATGAATTCCTTACTTTGTTTAGAAAAAAGGCTAAGGATGATTCGTTGTTACTGGGTGCAACTTTCCCCTGCCCAAGGAAGCCATCAAGTTCGCGAAGATGATAACACAAAATATTTCGAAGCAACACGAACCAATACAATACATTCTCCTACAGTGCCCGTCTAGGATGATTCATGATGTGTACGGCTCCATTCAAAGCATATCAAAAGTGTTGTTTTTGCTGGTGCGATTTTCGCGATCTAAAGGTGCACATCTGGATGGGTATTGTTGTTATTCAATAGGCCCAGGATTCACTTTCTTCGAGATATTCACAGGACACCAAATAGAAATTATCAATGAAAAGTCCAAACACCTATTCCGAGGCAACCACTGGTTATTTATTTATTTATTTATTAAATCACCAAAAAAAAGACTTATTGAGGAGGATTTAATTCGACAGTGGTCGCTACCTACCTAGGCAGTATTCTTTCTACCAGGTGGTTGACAAGGCACACCAGAATAATCGACAACAATTGAGTTTTGGAGCCGTGAAAACTTCGATATTGAGATAATTCCAACCGTACTGGAAATTTGATACCAGGAAATTTGATACCAAAGCCAGGGGATTAGAGAGTCGAATTTCAGTATTTTCTTTTGCCACGGTACTACTTACTATTAGACCAAAATTCAATTTTCTAACGATTTTTTTTTCTTACAGATCAACAAACAGGATCAGTCATCAAACAAGAGCAAGAACCCTATGATCCATTCATCTTCGGTCAACATCAGGGCAATCATAGCAACTATACCCAGGGCAACCATCTACAACGCCCGAGTGACTCCAACTGGCCTCTGTTGTTTGATCCGCATTTAAACACTACAAGGATTTGCAAGCACAATACAGAAAATCAAGGAACATTTCAGCCAATACCAAAGGCGGATCAGACTTGGTACCCTACTCGAGAATACGCATACACACAGGCAGCTGCGCCGAGAACACAGCAAGGTGAGTCACGATTTAGATATTGTTTGTTTCGTACATACGTCCGGTCTCTCAGCACGCTACAACCCCTGGTATGCCTGACATACGATTATCCAGTCATCAAAAGCTAGGGAGTCAAAGCATGTGACTGATGAATGTGTTTGGTATGTAGTACTCTTAGCCATGTCGAACACACCGGAGAGACAGAATAGACAGTCAAAGTCGCCTGTTCCTCCGCAAGGCTCTTATAACAAAGAAGGAATAACCGATAGCGACAATATTACGAGTCATAACTCAAATCCGGATCATGACACCAATGGACTCGTGCCTACATTACCTGCTGTGCCTGGAGTTTCAAAGCTTCAGACAGATATAACAACCGTTGGCCCCCCCAGTTTAATAGCTGAAGGCCGCGAATCTGAGAACCATCCAACGGAAAAGAATGGAGGTGGTGATGAAAAAAATAGATTACTAAGCGTGGCTGGTACTTCGCCACATCACTTTAGCGCACAAGGCAAACATCAATTTGCAGCCTCTCAAGCAGGATACCAGGCATTGCATTATCAAGAATCCAATAATCAACCTGAAAACCACCAAGCCGGACTGTACGAGCGTGGCAACCATCTCCCCTACGAATATCCGCTAAATATACACCCTCCTCCTAGTCGCGATAATACCTACTTTCCTGAAGACTACGACCACAACCCAGATTCAAACTTCTTTCAATATCAGGATAACTCCCGCCCAAACAACAATATGAGTTTAAGCTACGAGTCCAGATCATTTATGACTGACACACAGTACCCGATGCAAATGGCGCACGAAACGCAAGAACAAGACGAGTTCAAGCCGCACGATGAGCATAATTACCCAAGTCCGCCGCCTCCAATGTCCGAGAACCCTTATACCACACAACCTATGACGGAAACTCCAGATCACCCATCGTTGGAACTACCAGAATTACCAAAAGATGAAGAGGAGGCGCCATCACCCGGACGATCAAAGCCAGTACCAAAACCTGACAGGGAGATAACAAAAGATGCAAACGGGAGATTTTACTGTACCTGGCCCGGATGTACTGAGGAGGTCAAAGATTTTAATAGAAAGTGCGAGTGGAGGTAAGCACAGTCTCCTAACTTTTGTTCGTTTTATCATTGATGTCTTTATAGCAAACATATGGATAAACACGATCGCCCTTACAGATGCAAGGAACCAGGCTGCGAAAAGCTTCCTGGATTTACATACTCTGGGGGACTTCTTCGGCACGAAAGAGAAGTGCATGGAAAGCACGGCGGGCCTAAAAAGCAACTTAACTGTCCTCATCCCAACTGTAAACGTCACACTGGAAAAGGATTCTCTCGTCAAGAAAATCTTAATGAACATCTCAGACGCGTGCATACAGCAGATACGGGAATGACACAGATTTCTCAAATGAACATGGATGAAACGGAAGAAGATGCCAGCCAAGCAATTATAACAGGCATGAAAAGAAAACGCGGAAATAGCAAGGGAGACGTTAGTGAACTTGAAAGTCTTCGCGAGGAAATCAAGAAGATGAAGGCCGAAAATGATGAGCTCAAGAGACAATCACAAGCCCAACAAGCACAAACTGCAGAAGTTATGCGCCAACTGGTTGAACTTCAAAATTTAGCAACGCTGCAGCATCCACGGATGAATGCACCGCAGGCTACTATGTAAACGCGTGAGAGGGGTGGGTTGAGTTGAGATGTCGGATCAAATGAAAACATAACAGATGTTCTTTGATACGCATGGGAATAATTTTCTTTCTCTACTTTTTCTAGGACGGATATTTGCTTGCATGGTTTGGAGGGTAGCATTTGGGGGAGTTTAATGGATGTAGTCCTGGCACTTATTTTGGCGTTTTTATGAGATTTGTTACCTGGTGTGGACGAACGGACGAATTTTTCCTTTTTACTCTGCTATTGGGAGCGGATTTCGATTCAAATTCGGCAGCGATAGTCACTCTCGTACTCATAAATTTGTTATATATAAGCTTGTATTACTATAGCGAGAGGGAAAAACCACTATAGATGAAAGATTGATTCAAATTTGCGTATGATGATATACCTACACTTTCTTTGCCAAACTCGTTTCCCCCTTTTTTTTTAAACGAAACGAAAGAACGAGAGTGACGTCTTTTTCAAGGTTAACCTAGAATGATTGTAGATTCAATTGATGGAAGAGCCTGAGGTTCTGTTCCGTGCTGGGGAAATGTTGAGGAGTAGATGTCTGAGGTATCGATATATTTCGAGATCTTCAAGACGCGACGCATGATTTTTTTTTTTCCGCCACTACGTACCCGGGATGCGATAAGCCACTTGGGATTAGATACTTGTGAGTGTTAAAAATTTCCTTTTTTGTTTTTTTGTATATTGGGAAGAGTATTTGGCTGTGATTGGGATTGGATTGGGAATTTGGAAACCGGGGAAGAATAAGTTGGTTCTAGAAGTGCGGAAACCCCGATTGTGGGATGGTTCTTGGAAGGTAGGGAGGGAGTCATCGATGATCGTAGACGAGGATTCGATTGGATTGCTTCTTCTGGGTGTGGGCTGGGGAACCCGTGGGAGTTGGGTTTTGAGATTTAGGGTGTGTGGTGTGGTGTGAGGATTGGTGAGGTGAGGTGAGATGGGATGAGATGGGATGAGATGATATACATGCATGTGGCATTGCAATGGGCAGTAATTGTCATCAAAGTACAGATATCAAGTATCAGCATAGCAATATCTAGTAAACTCCCAAGTCTAGCCATCTATCCATCCATCCACCATCATCAATATCATTCAACCCCCCCTAGCAGCACATCGCTACTCAATCCCCTTCCCAACCTACCATCTCCAACATCTCGATTTCTTGATCGCATATCTCGCATTGCATGTTCAAACATCAACCATACCTAGATTTCAACCATACTTAGGTCGGTACCAATCATTCATGTTGGTGGCTGAGGGGCTGAGGCTGAGTAGGCTGGATTTTTTCTCCCTACGCAGATCGTCTCGAAATCTCGGCGTCTCCGCGCTTGGGATGGGAAATGGAAATTGGAATATTGGAGCTTTGGGTGATGGATGCAAATGGATGGGGAAAACGGGGGTTGTGGATTGACGGGTTTATGAATTTACAGAGAGTGTGAGTATTGGTATGATGGATGGATGTAGAACTATATCTTGTTTTTGGGAGGGGGGAGATTACATGGATAATCTATATAACAAGTGTGTAGTGGTAATTTGAATGGTATATCTCATATCATCTTTAATAAATGTGTTAGTCTGAAATAATGTGTTTTACAGTGTGAGATTGTATTAGTGAAATTATCGAGGATGTGAGATGCTATATAGTACATCTCTACTGTATAGATGTATCTAGCGAGGCGAAGGAGCGAAAAAAGGGACTTGTTCTTTTCGTTTGTAAATATCGGATTAGTGAAGATATCTAGTACTGTAAAGATTTTCCCTTTGTGCCCTGTATCAGTAGGTGAATCAGTTCTCCTAGGGAAAAGTTGAAGAGAAGGTTTAAAAATGTAAGTAGATGTGATATTTTACCATTCGCATACTTTGAGTCGTGTATAGATAGATGTTATCATTTCTGCTTGCTTAATCATTATAATGTAGATATCTCTATTCTAGCAGATATATGGACGTCGATTGTATCCGCCATTTTCACATTAGCCACACACCCAAAACGCCAGCTGCCTGCATGATTCCCATGCATGTGCATCCCAATCTCCCCCGCTCCCACTTATTTTGCCATCCGCTCTACTCAACTTCCATAGCCATCAGCCACTCCTCGCTCACCCTCATAAATTTGGCTACAAAAGCTTCGAGATGGAAAATGACCTTCGTACCCGTCTTACACCTGTGTTCATAAAATGCAGCCCATTTGACAATATCGCTCTTCAACGCATCATCCACCAATGGCATGAGTTTCCATGTTAGGGTTTTGAGAATAGTTGTAGCAGGGATACAATGTGTGAGGAGATCGTAAAGTTGGGCACGGATTTTGAGGATCTGGGCCGGAGTGTGTTCGACGGTCATGCTGTGCGCGATGGTCGAGAGAAGTGCTTCCCAGTCAGGTGGTGGGATGGGGGTGTTCTCTGTTATTGTCTCGCTGGTGCTAGTTAGTATGATATCTCTCGCAAAAGTATATATAGTAGAAAGAATAGTAGGCGTGAAAAGGGTAGCTAAAACATACTTTTGCGCATGTGCTGCCTCATACATCAACAGCGCCCTCCTCAGATTTCTGCCACTCTCCTTGGCAACTCTTTCCAAGAATCCTTTACTGACTCCCCATCCTTCCCTCTTTCCACTCGTCTCAAGCACCTTCACAATATCCCCCTCAGTTGGTGCTCCCACCCTGACCAACAACGTTCTACTCCTAATCGGTCCAATAATCCCCGAGGTACTATTAGCCACCAGAATCAATCTAACATTCCCACTATATTTCTCCATCGTTCTTCTCAGCGCCGCCTGAGCATCACGACTCAACCCATCCGCCTCATTAATAACCACCACCTTAAACCTCTGCTTCGCACTCTGATCCACCTGCTGCGTCTGCGCCACTTCTTTAAGCAATTCCGAAATCACAACACGGTCATAATTTCCCACATCTGAAGGCGTAATTTCCAAATGATAGAGTGAAGAAACAATATTGAATTCGAGTTTTCGCGACGAGGTTGCCAATGCGAAGACACGGGAATCGATTTTTATTTTCTCGACGGCGGGCCCATAGAGTTCTTTGAGAGTACATACTATGCGAGTTTTTTTACCCGCGCCGGAAGGTCCGTAGAGAAGGAGATGAGGGAAGTCGCCGGATTGTGCCTAGATATGATCGCCATTGTGAGTATGTACTGCGTCAAGTATATAGACAGGGTAATTGAAGAGATTGGTAGACCTACAAGAGATCTCAAACGATTAGAAAGATCGTCATGGTAAGTAAGTTGATCAAGAGACCGAGGACGGTGCTTATCTACAATGAGAGCCATGTTGTAATTTTGTTGTAGGATTTGGAAATTGAGGTTTGATTCAAATTGATTTCTGGTTTGAAAACGTTCTGGAGACGCGATGAACGCGTTTCGCGTAAAGCTGTTTTGCGGGGAACCACGTGAAATTCCATGTTAGAAGGTAAGTTCACTGAGGATTTTTAACTTCGATCTGAAGCTCGAGTAAAATATGCTTGTTAATATAGAATCATTGTATTATGTTGAGCTTATATACGTAGTCAGGACAATATTATCTATGATGCTATCTTTCCGAATCCTCAAGATAAAAGGCAGGAGGATAATGGAAGGCATTCAAGTGATTTGAAAGCAAATGGTGTGAATTCAAAATGTCTATCTAATTCTACAACAAAATCTAATAAGTTCAAATAGCCCCTCCGATGCCCCTTCTTCATGATATGATGCTATACTGTAAAACGCCGACGCTTGAGCCAAGACCGCTAGGTATCTTTTAGAGAAAACATGATAAAAGTAAATTTCCCACAACTTGTTCTGTCTTCAACCGAGCCTCCTGTTCGACCCCAATCACAAAATAAACTCCTCATCTAACCAGTGCTTTAATACAATTCTTCCTTCATCAAAGCTCGGTTTGTCAACCCTAACAATAATAGCTGCGTGACTATGTCTGACCTTGTGAATGAAAACCGGGTACTTTCGCCAACCTACCTTATCTAATGCTTCTATCATTTTGAATTGATATGGTGCTAACGCCAAAGTAGGAGCAATTACACCGAATTTCTCTGGGTCGGCAATTTCGCTATGAAAAGATTTAGTCCGTTCTCTGATCAAAGGAGATGAAGCGGATGCCTCTTCAGAGTCCGAATCAGAAGGCGTATTGAGGTATTCGTTGTCTTGGGTAGCATTGAGGTTCTCATACACGTCTTCGACGGTTTCACGCATACTATTGATGAGCAGAGGGAATCGATAGTCGTTTGGTTGAATACCGGCTAAACCTTGTTCGTGTAGACGAATGCGTTTGCTACTGCGGACAGTTTGAACGGCAGAGTTCAGAAGGAAAGCGACGACACCGAATGGAATGAATATGACCAATGCCGCAACTAAAGGAAGATTTCCCACGGTCTTCTTTGTGCTGGCCATGAAGCTCGTATTGGCATGTAGACTAGACTTGTCCAAAGGGGAAACTGGGTTGTGCCTGTCCAAAACAACATCTTCGTAACCTTCTACATAGTTTATTTTGACATTATCCGGATTTGAAAATGGATCGGTGCTTGCAATTCCAGTGGTATAGTAAACGGCGCTTCGATCGTTGACAATGTTTGCATATAACGTCCTTCTCTCGAATTTGGCTAATCCCTTTAAGAAGATTGATTCTGGATCTGCCAGAATCTCAAGTAGCGGCCTTCCTGTGTCTCTAAACTTGTCTATCGTAAATAATTGCCGCCCGGAGGTTGACAGAGTTCTTGCGCCCAGGACGTTCCAGATGTGATTGAGAGATCCTTTCAAAGGTGTGCGGACACCGAGATGTGGGCTGGCGAAGGTGGTAATATTCTATATATCGGAGTCAGATAGTTCATAATGACTCCTGCGTTCAGTATACCAACATACCACTGGCTTGATCTTATCGAAGAACCCCTTGCTGTCAAGTAAGCCAACAGAGTAACGGGCCACAAGGCCGCCCAAGGAATAGCCAACGATGGAGAACCTAGTAATTACTTGACCCTCTCTCGCAAGTTTCTCGACTTCTTCCTCTATCTCTGCAGTCACTCGCTCGCCACCCAACTCAATCCCATCATATGTAAAGCTACCACTGTTGCGCTTTGCGACCAATATATGAAGGGTATCCTCAGAATGTTTCGCTCGTAAAGATTTTGCCACTGACTCCAAATGAACTGGATTTCCCCAAAGTCTGTTCCGTCAGTATGCAATGAATTGCAGAGAGATGAAACATGTACAACACTCACCCATGAACAAGCACGCAGAGATGCTGAGCATCACGGCTGCTACCGGTATAATCCATAACTTCGTTGCTGAAGAAGGCCCGGTCCAAAGAAGATAAAGAAAAGGGTAACAATGTGACGATGGGGGTTGGAATGCTAGCAGTGAGAAAGTGTCTCTAAAGACACTTTCCAACCACTAACAATAAGCACACAGCTGTCGCGTGCTCGGGCTTTTGGATGTCCGGCGTACGTTTGAATGTATGATGCGTTCTTTACAGGGATATCTGCAGCCTGGAATGCGGTTTTCAGGGTGTGCACAGCCGTGAAGATTATTTGGGGATATCCAGAATGAAAAATGGGAGAAACGATGGAAATTCTATTTATGGAGATGAAGATGACAATGATGATGAGAGTGAATGCAACGAAGGAAATATTCAGAAGAACAGGCTCTACTTACTTACTCAGGCAGGTACTGTCAAATGACATATATATATCCAGATGTGATTGTGATAACGACTGCTTATAGGTGGGTTCCCTCCTTCCTTGGCTCCCTCCACCAACAGATAGATAACATCGATAACGTTGATAAACCTACCAAAGATTAGAGGAATGATAGACATACCGGTATCTCACACATATCAGAGGGTATCATTCATAGATTCCACTGCAGACGTAGTGGCTTGTCGACTAAGATTCCGAGATTGGGTGCATCCATCCCCGATTCCCCGATTTGCCAGTCAGTAGGTACATATTGTAGCCGGTACATTGTTTCTTGGAAGCCCACCAACGCAGGTAGATTCTCTGCTGAATTGACGGACTCAAATTCCTTAATCATTACCTTTCTACCTAGGTCGTCTGGTCGTGTAGTGCTCAAAGCCTGAAGCGAACTGTGATGATAGCCGAAGAGCTGCTGCAGTCTGAACCATCAGAGAGAATCTTAATTAGATAGAAACAATGAACATCAATCAATCAATCAATCAATCAATTCGATCGCATTAAACATTACGTGTATGCCATCAATCATCGCCAACTAAAGGAAAGAAAGGAAAGAAAAAACAAAAGAAAAAAGGAAAGAACCCCAACTAGGAAGGATAGAGCTGCGAGTACCGTAGTTACTACCTAGCACCTGGCTTGCTTGGCTTGACTTGGTTTGGATTGGCCTTGATCGCACCTCGTTCGTTGTTCAACCTACCAATTGGCACACAATCTCACAAACAAACAGCCTTAAGGTTCACGTGATATATATCGCAAACCCATGGTATTTTCTATTCTATTTGGAAACCCGAGAGAGTCTTCACCTTTTATAAAGAATTCATTGTAACTCTTGGATAGCTTGACTGTAGCTCACCGAATTGCATCCATCATGAAAAGGGGATCACCGAGTGAATAGCTATACTCTCAAACAACCCCATATCAACTCCATCCTTTATCAAGCTTTGATTCTTTCGCAATCACATATTCCCTCTACGATCCCTCAAGATGTTTACTACCAAGGGTCTTTTTTCGCAAACCAAATGTCCAAATCGGGATAAGTGTTTGATTCCAAGATGCATATTTTCACATGATCATCGCGTCGTTCAAGCAGTATCAAATGGAATAGCACAAGTGAAAGCTACTCAACAAGTCGATGGAAGTGATGGTGATCAGGATAGGCAACGAAAGCGTCAAAAGATTGGTTATGGAGAAAGAAGTACGACACCAACAAACGAGCCACCACCTTCAATACCGACCTTGAAACCAACCATCACTGCACAGAAGGCAGTTGATGACAAAGCCACTTCAATACAAACATCGAAATCCACGTCGACAGCTCGACGTGAGATTTCACCACCGCCATTGCGCCGCAAATCCCAAAATGGTACATCTACAGCATCTACATCATCTATACCCGCCAGTTCAAATAACATAACACCCCAGAAACAAAACGCGCCAGCAACAAGCAAAGTCCAGAAAGTGGTATCAACTCCGGTCAAGAAGCCCGAGAAACAAGAACCTCTCAATCCACGTGCACGCAAAACTGCACCAGCTGTTCACAACATCCGGCTCAGACTTGTTCAAGCTCTACATGACCAGTTGAAGCGTCTCAATCTCGAACTATCTAATGATGCAAATGGTGAAGAGAAGGAACTTGTATTTTCAGATCAAGGGTTGATCACAAGGGCCTTAGATTTGGAGGAAGCTGCTTGTGAAACACCTACTATCTATTCCAATGTTGTCAAGAATAAAATCATGGTCTACAAGAGAATGACTGTTGCGCAATGGAAAGAAGAGAGAGCCAGAGAGATTGCCAAGGAGAAAGCCGCGAGAGCACCTCTTTCAGATACGCCAGCCAAGAAACCTGAAGGACCGCCAAAACCAATCGAGACAGGTCTAACTCCAGAAGAAGAATTGGCTATACTCCCAAGACTCTATACTCCCGTAACAGAGTTATCACAGCACGGATATGTCACCAATGTTCCCACGCCTGCGGACATTGAAATGGCAAAGAGCGGTATGGAAGCATCAAAAGGTTGGGAAGTTTGTGATCGTTGCAAAACACGTTTTCAAGTATTCCCGGGTCGTCGAGAAGAAGACGGTATACTCGCATCTGGTGGTTGCTGCACTTATCACTTCGGAAAACACTATTGGAAAGATCGTTCTTCGCTCGACCCCAAAGCCAAACGCGAGAAGAAATGGCGATGCTGTGATCAAATTATCGGAGAGACGTCTGGATGTACCACGGCCGATCACCACGTCTTCAAAGTGACCGAAGTCAAGCGTTTAGCCGCGGTATTGAATTTCGCAAAGACTCCCGAGAATGAAGTAGACCCGTCCATTCCTGCTCAACCCGTCTGCATCGATTGCGAAATGGGCTACACAGTCCACGGCCTCGAACTCCTTCGTTTGACCGCCACCTCCTGGCCTTCAGGCTCTCCCCTTCTCGACGTCCTCGTCCGTCCTTATGGCGAAATCCTCGATCTCAATTCCCGCTATTCAGGCGTCTACCCACAAGATATCACATCCGCCATCCCCTACTTTTTTCCCGGCTCTCAACAAATCGCCCAAAGCAAAGGAAAACTCCGCATCGTAGACTCACCTGCCATAGCCCGCACTCTCCTCTTCTCTTTCCTCACCCCCTCAACTCCAATCATCGGCCACGGTTTAGAAAATGATTTAAACGCTACCCGATTCATTCATCCAACTATCATAGACACAGCTCTATTGTTCCCTCACAAAGCAGGATTGCCCTATCGAAATGGCCTCAAAATGCTCATGCAAACTCTACTGAATCGAAATATTCAAATGATCACTTTCACAGATGGAAAAGCAGATGGTCACGACAGTAAAGAAGACGCAAACGCGGCAGGCGACCTTGTTAGATTCCGAGTGGGCAAAGAGTGGGAGAAGATGCAGAGAGCGGGCTGGAAGTTGAACAGTGGAATCTTCGAACCTCCCGAGAATAACGCGGATGCGAAGAGTGGAAAGTGGGGCTCGGGAGAGAAGGCATTTGGAGAAAACGATGGAAATACGGAGGGAGAGGACAAAACAGATGTGGAGCATACAAATGAAGAGAGAATCGTGGTAGGTGTATCTGCGGGCTCGAAGAGACGTAGAGAGGATATGGAAGAATGAGATAGATGCGATAAGATGAGATGAAATACATAATCGACGAGGAGCAGTACATTCCCATCAAGCATCTTTGCGAATTCTTGAGTTTGATAGAGGGAGGATCAAGGCGTTCTGAGCATCGAAAATAGGTATTTGGAGGATGATCATATGGCAATCCAGCTTCTTCAATCGTTTTCTTTAGGGTATTTCTTCATAGCAGTATGCATGCACGTACTAGATATCCACCTTTTTATTTACTTGCTTGCACAATGCATACATGCATACATACTCGATTCTACACACTGGGCGCTGGATTAGTTTGTAGACAGGTAGATATTGCGAATCGTAGGTAGGTAGGTAGGTAGTAGGTAGTTAGCGAGGATTTTTAATACAATGAGAAATCACTTTGTGGTGGTATAGGTTAAGGATTACAATAACTTATAACTCTGTCTCCTGGGTGCATACCTATCACCGCATCCGGATCTGATATTTGATATCGGGAGATATATATCTGCGATAATACCATAGGCAGGAATCCAATTTAGACAATCAATAATCTTTCTCCACAGTTCATTCGTTCATTTACTGGGTATTCACATTCACATCCACATTCATCACATTCATCACCCTCACCCTCGTCCCAACACCTCAATTTCTTCCTAAGAAAAAGATAAAGCAAAAAATTCAAAAAATTAAAAGTCTTGGTATCATTTCATTAACTAGTAGGTACCCGGGTAGGTAGGTATGCACAAAAAACCCTGCTAATCATACAATCCAATCGCGTCACCACATTCATCCATTCATTCATCAATTCATGCATCTCTGATTCCTCAACATCCAGGTAGGTATCTCTGAAACAAACCAAACCACACTGCACTTGGAAGATGACAGGCGACCACCAAGAATATGAATTCTATTTTTGATTATCCATGGAAAATATGTTTTTACCCATATATGACAACTGTGACTGTGTGTATAGTCTAAGTCGAGTGATCTTCCAACTCCCGTTTTTACGTCGGAATCATATTATAGATACGATACGATACGATACCGATTCTATCGACTCATTCGAGTTCCAAGTCCAATTCAAGATCAGGAATATAAAAGGTACTAGAATGATATATTGAAACCTGAAGGATATTTGGGTACAAGTTGTCAGATGTCGGATTGAAATATTCTACAATGCACATGCGAGGTTTTGACATAGCATGAAGCCGCATCAGACCATCATCACGACATTATATCATAGTCCAAGTCCAAGATCTGAGCAACGACTCCGTAGAAGGAGATTAGCGACGACCACGTGGAGCCCCTCGAGCAGGTCCGCCTCCGCCTCTACCGCGATAGGCTTTACCACGACTTTGACCACCACCTCTAGGGGGTTGTTTCCAGATTTGTGCTTCGGCTTATTCTTCTCTGCACTGCCGCCAATGCCACCACTACCACCACCTCTACGACCGCCACGGCCACCACGGTTTCCAGAAGGTCCTCT